AATCCCCCGCGGCATTTGCAATTCCGACTTGTCTCATTAGCATCCCTTTTCCGGAAAAGGGTGCCAATGTAGACACAGCCATGGAGTGGAAGTGTGCATGGACAGATCTCCCCTCTGTCTCCATGCCACTGGGGGAAGAACAGGTGCACGTCCATTAGCCATGACGTCGTTCTAATTAGCTCTATTGTTGGTTTTCTTTGTACTTTGCATTTTTCTCTCTGTGGTGGCAGCTGGGCTGTGTGTGTTTGTTTTTGAACAAGTATTGGTTGCCCAGTCCATGAGTGCGCGCGCTTTGGAAACAACGAAGAGAGAGGAAGTTGAAACCAAAGCTTTTAATAAAGTTGCAAATTAACAGTAGATAAATTAGAATGCATAGCACAGGCAAGTCAGTTACTGTAGAGCATCATGTGTCCCAATGCAAAGGAAGGATTTGGTGCACAAGGCAACTCTGATTCCCCTTGCTGTTCTGGAGCCAGACCTAGTGAGCAGAAGTCTACTTTCTGTTCCCTGTCCTGGGCCTGTAATGCACCGTCTCTGCCCCACTGCCAGTCAGCATTCTCACATCCGTTGTGCAGTGCACAGCATACCCCATGAACCTGGTAGCACTGGCCACACTGGCATTCAAATAGGGAGGCAGTGCCACTCTGCTCGCAGCCAAATGCACGCTTCACAGCCATCCTGAACCTGTGTGCACTTAAACCGTCTTCTACCTGGCATTCTTACCTTAGGGTAGGCTTCATGACCCAGGGCAGTGGAGAATAGGCTGGGTCCCCTAAAATAGCAGTGAGCACAGATATTGCAACTGAGATCTGTGCTATGGGGAGGAAATAAAGTCCTTCCTTGTCCAAACAAGTAAATGCCAGAGCTCCAGAACATCCTGGCATCCTGTCAGTACCTCCCACAGTGGTGTTCCCCAACCTCCTCCTATGGTCAATGAAAGCTCATGTCACGAGCTGGCAGTACCCCTTCCAGTTGGCGTGCTGATGTGCACCTTGCAGGGAGCAGAGAACAGTCACATATGTGCAATCAGTGGTCCCAGCATGATCCAGGAACCCCATTTGCTCAAATCCAGCTGCTATTTCAGAGACATTAGCAATGTTCAGCACCTGCGGATAAGCTACTGCCAGAAATTGCCTTACAAACGTCCACCGCCACAGCACCAGCAGCTGAGCTGCCAACACAAGATTGGCTAGTCACCAGCAAGTACCAGTGTGAAGTGGCCAACATCTAGGTGGCAATAGCAACCTACATATGTACTAGTGGGATCCTCTTCACCTGCATGTCCTGGCACTGAGGGGTGAGGGTGAGCTCTATGACATCATACTTCCTCGTGCAGAAGTTCTGGAGACACTCCGGGTCATCCTCAGTCTGCATGCCAATGTGATCTCCCCTTGCTATGCTTGTGGTCCTGCTCCAGCACTGCCTGTCAGCAGAGAGGTGTTCCACAGCTTAGCAGTATAGATGCTCTTATCCAGGTTTGACTAATTTGGGTTCCTACACCTGGGTGCTTGGACCTATAGAAATTCTGTAGGGAACCTGATGACCCCATACAGTAGTTCTTAAACTTGTGCACCACCTAAAGACCATTAGTCCAACTACTTTTTCTGGAAGAAGTCTGAGATGAGTTGCTGTGCATATTCTTATTGTCAGGCCAAGGGGCTGGTTTTGGATGTTTTTCACCTAGCAAAGGCTATATTATTATTATTGTGAAACCATTTTTTAACTTTGAGCAGAGGTTGCTGTTTTAGAGCTCACATTTCAATGTACTCTAAATCTACATGTGCATCCAGATTGTTTTGAAAATTGCTTTGCCTTTTCAGGGTCAGGTAAAGAGTTAATGATGCAAATTTAAAATCATTAATTGGTCCAGGAAGGGTCCTGAGATTCTAGTCTCCAAAAAGGAGCTGCTTTTATTAATCTAAGTGCTCTGAAACCCCACGTACATAAGAAAACTGTCTTGAAAGCCTGTGTGTTACAACAGGGATGAGGCAAATGTTGTGGTGCATGTGTGATTTCATTTGATCACGCTTTCCTAGACTTGTAGAACAGGAAGAGACCTCAAGAGGTCATCGAGTCCAGTCCCCTGCACTCCTGGCAGGACCAACTAATATCTAGACCATTCCTGACAGTTATCTGTCTAACCTGCTCTTTAAAAAAATCTCCCAATTATAGAGATAATCACAGCCTCCTTAGGCAATTTAGTCCAGTGCTTACCCACCCTGACAGGAAATTCTACTCAATGTCCAACCTAAACCTCCCTTGCTACAATTTAAGCTTGTCCTATCCTCAGGGGTTAAAGAAAACAATTTTTCCCCTCCCCATAACAATATTTTACATACTTGAAAACTATGTCTGTCTGCCCTCAGTCTTCTCATGTCTTCTCCAGACTAAACAAACCATTTTTTAAATTCTTCACTCACAGATCACGCTTTTTAGACCATTTTCGTTTCTCTTTTCTGGACTGTCTCCAATTTGACCACATTTTTCCTGAAATCTGGCACCCAAAACTGAACACAATACTCCATTTTAGGCCTAATCAGCATGGAGTAGAACAGAAGAATTACTTGTTTCGATTACAACACTCCCGCTAACACATTCTAGAATGTTAGCTTTTATTTTCTGCAACCATCACACTGTTGATCAGCGCTGGGCAAGATGTGGCTCGGGAGACAGATTGGGCCCACCAACACATTGATCTCACCTGCGGACTGCATCTGGCTTTCTATCTTTATCTTGCTGCCCATGCCACCAAATTTCCAGGTGGTGGCTGAAGCAGCAGGATCCTATTTAAATGGCTCCCAGCTGAAGCACTATGCCAGCAGGGGCCAGAGCCACCAGCCCTTTGCTGGGTTTTTAATTCAAAGCCTCCAGCTCCAGACAACTCTGAGGGGAGGTTAGTCCCCAGCTCCACCCCTGGCCCCACTCCTTTCAGGGGTGGAGCTACCCCCTGACCACATACCAAAATTCATTGTGGCCCACCTGCAAAATTTATTGCCCATCTTTGCTGTGGATTCATATTTAGCTTGTGATCCACTATAGTCCCCAGAACCCTCTCTGCAGTACTCCTTCCTAGACAGTCATTTCTCATTTTGTATGTACAACTGATTGTTCCTTCCCCAGTGGAGTATATGTCCTTTTTGAATTCCATGCTATTTACTTCACACCACTTCTAGAGTTTCTTATATACTGTACCTTCAAATAGACCTGCTTTTCATATTTTCCACATTCTTGTAACTTTTGCATAGAGCAAAGGAAAAAATGTGGCTCTGATCCTCATCAAATGTATATCACCGGATTACCTCACTCAACTACACACTGGCTGTGTCTACACTGGCATGAATTTTCGGAACTGCTTAAAACGGAATACTATTCCGTTTTCAGTTTTTCCGGAAAAGGAGCATCTACATTGGCAGGCTGCTTTTCCGGAAAAGCCCTTTTTCCGGAAAAGCGTCTGTGGCCAATGTAGACGCGCTTTTCCGGAAAAGACTACTGGGCTGTCTACACTGGCCCTTTTCCGGAACAGTGTTCCGGAATAAGGACTTATGCCCGAGCGGGAGCAGAATAGTTTTTCCGGAATAGCGGCTGATTTTGTACAGTAGAGCATCGTTGCTTTTCCAGAAATTCAAGGGCCAGTGTAGACAGCTCGCAGCTTATTCCGGAAAAGCGGTTGATTTTCCAGAATAAGTGGCCCAGAGTAGTGTAGACACAGCCACTGACATCAAGCACAAGTTTAGAAACCCAGTAAACTTTTTGTTTGTTTGCACTTCAAATGATGTAACACCTCTGCCCAGTTTTAGAGAAAGCTCCCAAATTCCTTTATGACACACCCACGGCTTGGCTACTCAGGCAAATTAACTGGCATAGCTATTCTGGAATCCAGATAGATATTCTTTTCTGAAATAAGTGATTTTGGGAAGTGCAGTAGTTATTCCAGAATAAAAATCACTTTTGTTTCCGCATACAGTGTCCACACAGGAGAATTATTCTGGAATAGCTAATTTATGTTAGAGCTTTTCTGGAATAACTAATTGATAGTAGCTTTTATCAGTGTGTTTTCACCCATAACCACCTAAGTCATGCACTTGCCCAGTGGCTTAGGGGAGCAAGCATTATCCCTTAAGCCAAAGGACCAGGAATCTGAATTCTCTTATTGAAAGATGTCTGTGCTATGCACTAATGCGCTTTCATACTGCTTCACACTCTAAACCTGGGGCTACTGAGTTCTCTCACAAGTGCGCTGTAGGTGAGTATAATGTTGAGGAAATTAGGCACCCCTGCAAAGCCACCTATTTCTCTGCTATAATTCCCTTCCTGCAACAGTTTGGTGCATAATGTTGGAAGCAGAATATAACAGCCGGTACAGTGGTGTAGGGCCAGACTAATAAGGATGTAACTAACTGCTACATTGAAAGTGACATGGAGAGGCTAGTGGATGGTTCCCAGGAAGGAGAAACCAATTCTGTGCTGGGACAGACTCACTCAACTGCTTGGACAGCACTAGGCATGATAGACTGGATGTAGTGCAAAAAGGCCCAGTGCATGCAACAAGTACACAGCAATGTGGAGAGGAGAACTCCCATTGAGATGAATGGGGCAATTAACCCCTCTTAGGACATGCCTTCCCTGTGGCTAGACTTGACATTCAGGAAGGGCTTGAGACACTGCTGGGAAACTTCCACAGCGCAGTACAATTGGGGGCAGGTAATATGGTACAGCTCACCAACCGTTACTGGCTTGATGCAGGAATCCCATGCAGAAATCCTAGTGGCTACGTTGTACAGGTCAAAGTAAGCTATCAATCCATTAACCCTGTTTCCAAAGTGCAGCTCTGAGATCCCTGAAAGAAGGTGCTCTTTTCCCCACCCTCAGTTACACCTGCAGCACTGATTTTACAGTCATGGAGGAGTGCTTCCCCCTCTTGCAGGAATAGAGCATGGCCCCCTCAGCTAGGTAAGGGCTTCTCAGACACCCCATCCACACAACATATCCCGCCAAAGTGCTAGAAAGTCTCTCTCCATTTATTGCACAGGATGAAAGACAAATTCAAGTTGGGTCCCTTGCCCCACCTCAGCCAACAGGAGGTGGCCCTCTCAAGCTACCATTGGCTGCTTTGCGACTTCAGGCATCTGCAAACTTCCCCCGCAGTAGTAAGAGAACACGTCAGGAGGGAAAGTTTATAGAGGTATATTCACAGATCTATTTTTAATATATAGATATATATATATAGAGAGAGATTTATATTTTTAAACAATCCCACACACACTCACCCAGCAAAACAAAGAAAAAAATCAAGACGGCAGCTACGCTCTGGAGCAAAATTGTCCAAGGATCCCACAGAGCCAAAATAGCTGCTAAGCACCAGAGCAAGTTACTTGCAGGCTTCCATGATATTCTGGTGCTAAGGTGATTGCAATGGAGTTAGTCCTATGGCTCTTTACATTTACCTGTCAAGGGATAGGGAGAGAGACATGTGGAACAGAGGAGCTGAGGTGCTAAGAGATGGGGAGGACAGAGAAAGATTGCTAGAAGGTCGAGGACAGACAGAAGCATAGAGCAGATGGTAAAAGAATGAATGTGCAGGAGAACTTGCTGGACAGACAGATGCTGGAGATGAGCAAAGAAGTATCACACTCAGGACACCTGCTTTTTAACCCCGCTGTCTCCCTCTCACCCTCCCAGGAGTTTAGAGATCCAGCTAGTTTGATTTAGACCAGATCTTTGCGCTGCCCCGGAGCCTGCAGAAAAAGAAACAAAGTCTCAGAATGGAGCAAGGGGCCCACAGACTCACACCCACCTCCTTGCCCAAGGCACCTGAGAAGAGGCTGAGATTCTCAGCTGTGGATGGGTGCCACCACAGAAGAAGTGTATTGCCTCAAATTGAGGCTCTCAGAGAATCACTCCAGATGACTGGGGAGCAAGGCTCCGCAGGCAGTAAGCCTGCCACAGTATCCGTGTTACTGCCCTGAAACAAAGGCCCCGGAGACTCACTGCCCTGAATACACATGCAGAGGGGTCACTGCTCCTCACCCTTTGGCCTTAGAAGCTTTCTTGCTGGCCTGACGCTGGTTGGTGCCAGGAGCTGGCTCCCTGAGCTCTGTTAGATGCTGCTCTGGATCCTGGGATGTGGCTGCTGCAGCTGCTGCTGTCGTCACTTTAATTGTCTTCTTCAGATTTGCCACCTGCCAGAGTTGGAAAGCAATGACAAAGGAAACTTGAAAGGAGAAGGCATGTTAAACTGGAGTTAAGTGTACACGATAAATACATAATTAAAACAGAAACACTTAGCAGCAACCCCTGAGAGCTCTATGGGGCGGGGAGGTGATCTTGCTGTGCAATGAACCTCCCTCAGGCCTGAGCTGCCAGAGGGTGCTGATTGGGGGAAGAACTATGGAATACAAGGGCTGGCTTAGGTATGGAATTTAAGGCCTTTCATCTGTAGGGCACTGATTCCAACCCAGCCCCAGATCAGGGGACTTGGTTGTTCTGCAAGAGCATGCTCACCTCACTCTCTATCTGTTGCTTTAGGCCTAGCTGTTGCTCCTTATGTTGGTTGGCTCGGCTAACCTGCTCCTCAATCCCTGACAGGACAACTTCGCAGCCCAGGCACCTGCAGAAGAGACACAAAGATGAGCAGATTGGACAGTTTCCCCCAAAAGCGCTGCAGTGGGGAAACAGGGGACGGCATAAGTTCTCTGTCCACATATCACTACACGTTGGCAGCATCAGCAAGTGCCTAAGAGGAGAGGAGTGTATCTGAGCAGGAAGGGAATAGGTTCAATAGTCCCCAGTAAGGCAGACAACAGCGGAAGTGAGAGCAGGGCTAGGGGGCTGACGCAATCACTGCAAGGCTATGAGGAGCTCACGGTGAGAGGGCAGATTCAGCCCTGTGAGTTTTAGAGAAGGCTGAGGAAGTCCTTGTCCCAGAAGGGTACAGGCTCCCTGCACTCTTCCAGCAGCGCACAGAACTGAGAAGCTTCTTTCCCATATTTGGAGGAGTCTCCTCCCTACTTGTGGCCACAAGAGGACTGAGAGCTGCCTGAAGTTGGGGTTGTCAGCAGTCCTGCAGCACATGTGCAGTTAGGGGCGCTCAGTGACTCCATAGGTCTGAAGTCTCAATAGCACTCCTGCAACATGGGCAGGTGTGGGTGTCCCATCTGTAGATCATGGCGGGTTAGGAGAGATCTCCTCACCACTCCTTCCATGTCAGCACCTCCTCACCACCCTAAAAGTCCATGGAAGAGGCTTGTCACCACTCCGACATTCTGGGGGGAGAAGGGAGCTGGCCTTGGGGGCTTCGTCCTTACCACTCCTGCAACGTGCGTGTGATGGTGCTGAGCTCCTCCCTGCGGATATCCCGCCCAATGCAGTAGTCGATCTCAAGGCGTTGATTGCGCTGGTCCAGGCTTCCGCGCAGCACATCCGCATACACAGCCTCAATAACTAGATCCTCCAGCTGCCGCACATTCTTCAGCTGCAACTGTTCCAGCAGCACTGCATAGGGGATACACTGTGGAAAGCAAAGGTAGTTAGTATGGGACAACCCCAACAAGAAAGGGGAGGGGGACTAAGCCATTACCTTGATCTTGGCAGCCAGAGTGACCACTGACAGGTGCCTCAGCTTGTTCTTTTGAGCCTCAGTCAGTGGCGGGAGGTTTCCAGCTTCGGCTGCTCTCAGGAGAAAGAGCACGGTGTTAGAGTTGGAGCTGTCCAATCTCACCTCTTCTAGTCTCTGGCTAGGGTCCTTTGCCCCACATCCATTCCTCAAAGTCTCTAACGTACCCTCTGCAAGGTATCTCCTAAAGCTCTCACACAGCTCTGCATGGAGGAAGCCTTCTCCTGGAATCTGTCTCACCCAGCTCCTCCTGCTCCTCACTTCCCAGATGAGCCCTAAATAAATCTTCTCTTCATCCACATCCCTAACCATTGGCAGATGGCCCTCATAATCAGACCCCTCATTCCTCACCTAACTGGAGCCATGAAGCCAAATGGAAGTGTTGTACACGTGGAATCTCCACCCAGAACTCCACCTGTATTATTTGAATTCCAGAAGCATCTAGAACCCCAACAAAGTCAGGCTTCCATTGAGCTAGCCATTGCGTGCACACAGAGCAAGTGAGCCTGCCTGTTACAATGAACGTCCAGTCTAAAAAGGGACATAACGCAGAAAGAGCAACTGGCCTGAAGCCACACAGCAAGTGCAGTAGTAGAGCCGAGAAGAGAACCCCAGTCTCCTGAGTTCTAGGCAATGCCCTATGCACCAGCCTGTGCTGCTGCAGGACCCCTTTTCCCCTCTGAGCATTTCAATAGGTTGGTGAGTTCCTTCAACTTTGTCACTCTTTTTCTGCAAATGGAAGGTCCAACACTGAGAAGTATCCTACATGGGGTCTCCCCCAGAACTATAGAGAAAAAACACTATTCCCTCCCTGGGCTGCAATATGGGGCTTCTGCATCCCCAAAATTGCCCTGACCAGTTTTGAAACCTGAACCCTGAATCAGTTACTTGCCCTTCTCCCCTCCCATCTTTAGGATTGCCAGTTTTCAAGTGGAACATGCAAGCCGAAAGGTATCCTGTCAGCTTGGGTCAGCACTACTGACTGGGTCGTTAAAAGGCCAGGTGGTGGAGTTGGCAGGTTCTTTGCCTGGCTCCAGTTGGTTCCCAGGAAGTGGAGACACATTCCTCTGACTCACAGGGGGTAGGGCAACAACAGAGACACCATGTGCTGCACCCATAGTTCCCCCTGGTCAATAAGCACTCTGGGGGAAGACACGTGAGGACAGGGACAGGACACAGAGCTCCCTGGCCACCCCATCCACCTAGGAGCTGGAGGGACACATCACTGCTTCCTGGGAGCCACTTGGAGTAAGCAGCCAAAGCCCCTTCCTGTTCCTTCCTTCCCAAGCATGAGTAAGTGAGCATGGGGAGAGATGGAGTGAAAGGGGGATCAAGGAAGGGGGCAGCAGAGGAGGGTGTTTGGTTTTCTGCAGTTAGAAAGCTGGCAAACCTATCCACCTTGCCTGCTTCCCAGGAGAGCGGGAGGCGCCGGGGCACTAGGCTAGGGGCTGTAGGAGAAGGACACACCGGGGTACTAGGCTAGGGGCTGTAGGAGAAGGACACACTTACACAAGTAATCCGAGTAGGTCCCGTATGCGAAGAGCGTGAGCAGACGGAAGACGGAGGAGAACTCACTCTCAGCCAGCTGCAGGGGAGAGAGCACTCAGTACAACGGCGAGAAACCTGGCACGCCACGGCCGGGCCACTGCCCCAGGTCCAGGGGGCGCCTCGAATCCCGGCTTTCTTCCACCCCGCACCCCCAGCACGCGGTACGCTCGGGTGCTGTCGCTACCGCCGACACAGCTGCGTGGGGCGGGCAGGCGCTTCCCGGGCCGCACAGCGGCGGG